TTTGAGCTGATTCCACAAAAGTTTTGCCAATTTAAAAAAAAGCAAAAGCTAAAGCCCATGGGTTTAAAAAATGGCTCCGAAATGACTCCAAATTTTTATTACATTTTCTGATGCATATTGATGTCCTCATGCTATGTAGAAAGTTTAAGCTGATTCCGACTTCAATTTTTTGAGTTACGGCCATTTTAAGAAAATGCCGAAATTCTGAAAAATACCCAAGGCTATAGCCTGTGGTTTAAAAAAATGGCTCTGAAATCACCCCAAATTTTTATTACATTTTTTGATACATATTGATGACCTTATGCTGTGTAGAAAGTTTGAGCTGATTCCGACAAATATTTTTCGAGTTACAGCCAATTTAAGAAAACGCCAAAATTCTGAAAAATACTCAAGGCTATAGCCCAAGGTTTTTTCAAAAAATTGGCTCCAAAATCAATTTAAACTTTTATTACATTTTCTGATACATATTGATATCCTTATGTTGTGTAGTAAGTTTGAACTGATTCCGACTTCAATTTTTAAAGTTACGACCATTTTAAGAAAACACCAAAATTCTGAAAAATACCCAAGGCTATAGCCCATGGTTTTTTTTTAAATGGCTCCAAAATCACCCCAAATTGTTATTACAAATTCTGATGTCTTTATGCTATGTTGAAAATTTGAGCTGATTCTGACGTCAACTTTGCAACTTAAAAGCATCTTAAAAGTCAATTTCTAAAAAATACTCTGTGCTACATGTACTAGCCTATGCTTTTCTTCCAAAAATGCATCAAAAATTACGCCTAATATCTATTACATTTTTTTGGTTACTTAATTCACAGTATAGACTCACTATTTCCAATTCTTTCTTCTTCTTTAGTTTTTCTTTCTTTAGTCTTGCAAGATAGTGTGGGTAAGGTATTACAACTGGTTTAGGCCCAGTTCCTCCTAACGACTTAATGTAATCAATGTCACTTTGCTTCTTAGTAGCACCCTCTAATGTACTAGAGTCTAAAAAGAAAAGAGAAAGGGAGAAAGAGAGGGGGAGGGGAGAGAGGGGGAGGGAGGGAAGGAGGGAGAAAGAGAGAGGAAAATAAAAAAGAGACAGAAAGAGAGAGCGAGAGGGAGGAAGAGAGAGAGAGAGAGAGGTGAGATATCAGCAGAATACATTAAAATTTACAAGACTATATACTTATATGTTAAAACAAATTTTAGTACTCTTAAAATTATAAGTTCATACACAGATTGACATTGTTAATTTCTTACTAAGTGATCTGATGTCTTTCCTCATTTCCTTCATGTTAATACCTTCAGTCTCTAGTCTTTGTTTCTGGATGCTTAGCGAATGTATCTTCAATTCAACATCATTCTAATTAAAGCACGAGTTACATAGTAACCATTTGTTAATACATATACATGAAGCCATAGTAATACATAATATTTTTACTTTTTCTTTAATAGCTCCTCTTCCTCTAAGTCTAGATAATCTACTCTTTCCTTTAGCTTCTCTCTTTTCTTCTTTCTCTTTATCAAAAATTATAATTTCTGGAGTTCTCTTTCCTGCCATATTGTTTGGGTGGAGGAGTTAAAATAGAATATTGAATATGCTTTTGTGGTGAAGGGTGTGGCTGAAAGTTTTGCAAAAATGACTCAAAGAAGAAGGCAACCATTAGTTTTGTTAGGTTAGTGTATTCATAGTTCAACTTATTCTGTTATTCATTAACTGACTGCTTAAATAGAGAAGGAAAGACT